GAGCTCAGCTGGGGAAGGCTTCGTTCATCTGCAAGGGAACGGCACCGAGGTTATTTCCAAACGAGAAAACAAACATGCAAACCTCAACTTTTAACAAAACCGGGCTGTGCACTGAAAAGAAAACAGCAGAACCTGGCAGAGGCCTTTGTTTTTAAAGCGTCTGCTGTTAAATCCAGGTGGATCCAGGTGTGCGGGGGGTTCTGAATTCAGGCAGATTTGGGTGTGTGTCAAGATTTAAATCCAGGTGGATCCAGGGTGGCGATTTTAAATCCATGTGGATCTAGGTATGTGGGGGTTTTGAACCAATGTGGATCCAGATGTGCAGCAGGTTTTGAATCCAGGTGGATCCAGGGTGGGGATTTTAAATCCAGGTGGATCCAGCTGTGCAGGGGGTTTTGGGCATGGCCGTAGCACTCGGATGCTGCTGATGGGACAATGAGTCAGGTGTGTCCTTGTCGTGGCTTTGGGGTCCCTGAGGGTGGCTTTGGGTTGAGCCCCACCAAGCCACACCGAGTTCCTCTGCTCCGGGAGAAACGTGAGATTTTGGGTGTGAACAGAACACCCGGGCTGGGGGAAGGCTTCACATTTATAAAAACCAAAACAAAATGAACATAACCTGAAGGTTATGCACAGAAAGGGCGACCCGTGGCTGCTCCCCGGGTGTGTCACTGCCCCCGTGTCACATTGATAATAATTAATAATACTCATTTATTGCTTTGCAGGGCTTGGGAAGGTCTGAGCTCCTCGGAATCCTCAGGTTCGGTCACGGAGGGCTTCGATTTACACCGTGTCACAAAATTCCTGGGGACAACAGCCGGGAGCGGCTCCTGCGCGGGGTTTGTGCCGCGCCTGGCGGGGCGAGCGGGATCGGAGATTTTTTGGGGGAAAAGGAGCGGCTGTGCGGCTCCACGGCCGCGGGGACACCGGTGCCACCCGGAGCCGCGACACCACGACCTGGAGCCCTCCTGGCCATGCCCATCACGCTAATTTCCATGCCCATGTCCCCACCCACAAAACACCGACCCCGCCCCATGACCACGCCCACTCATCAACCCCACACCGCCCCTTTGTTCCTGGCCACGCCTTAATGACTCCTCCCCAATTAAAACCCGCCCATCCGACTTTACTCCCGCCTATTTCCCCATCCCAAAACTGACATCCAGGCCACGCCCCTCGGCCACGCCCAGGCTCCCAACCCCTCCCCTCATTCGCTGCTCACCCACCCCCAAAAATTGGCCACGCCCCCAACACG